GAATTGCCATGAAAAGCGGCCTTGCATCGCGCGCAGAAATGGAAACGACAGGTAGGACAGACGCCCTGCTCCTTGTTTTCATTCAGCATGACATGCTGCTTATTGCAGTTACGATTTGGACAGAGAACCATGTCGGGCATGGCTGAGAGGGTACGATTGAGGAGGCGCCGCTCATAAGTCGCATACTGCTCTTCGGTCACGACGGCGCGAATCTACAAATAATCGGGAAAGGATGAGCTTAGGAGAGTTATGGGGATGATTAGTATAACGATGAGGATGTGTAAGGGAGAACGGTGGGGGAAGAAGAAGAAGAGGACGATAAAAGTACAAAATAAGGAGAAACAGGCAGTAAATAAGCTCGCCGGACAGGGGTTCAGTAAATGCCAAAAGAAATATTAAGAAGCAGTCTGACTTTCTTGATCCTGTTTTAACCTGTTACCAACATATCGCTGGCTTTTTCTAGCTAACAGAAAAGAGTCTGAGTATTTACTTTTTCGCCTTGAGTACACTGAGCAGGTTGTTTGCGTAAACGTTTTGTCAAGGAAAGGAAAACACAACATAAGCGAATTAACTAACGCTACTTCAAGGACACGAACTATGGAAATTACCTTGACCAAACCAGGCTTTATAGCAGGCTGCAACCGTAAAGACAAGCAACCATTGCAGCAAAGGCATGTATTTAGACTTCAGAGACAGACGAAGAAAACAATGCACCAGAGGAACAATAGCATCAACTGATCCTGATATTTCAAATGCAGAGAAAATAAACATTCTTTGTACGGACTTGACATACATGTTTGACTAAGTTCATGAAATTCGGTGACTCAGATTCTGACACATAGCTGTTAGTTCCCAATATCTCCCTAGAATACTTCCTCCTGATTATGAGATGCTACAAGGAGCCCCAGACTGGTCCCATGTGATAGACGCGTTATCAGTATTTCTCGTTTCCGTACTGGTGAGCTACAGTTTAATCGCAGAAAACGATTCCGTCCAGTGGCTGCCCCCGAAGTAGGCATATTGCTAGTGACTTGCCTATGATAAACTTGAAATTGGTGCAGTTTTGCCTAGCATCTACCGAATGATATCCTCAATTACCCACCTGGCGGTGATGGCAAACTAAAAACAGTACGCCTACAGATATCCGTGGCTTTAAGAGATAACAATGGTTAACGGCCTGTCCACGCTTGCCCGTACGACATAATATCCAAAAATCATACTAGACTTTCATATGGGAGCTCTGGTCTCACGTGCACATGAATGCCTAATAGGCCACAGAACGAGAGAGGCCTTTTAACCTTACTTTCGGCTCTTTGAAGCGCCGGTTTATCCCGTAAACACTCGAAGCGTCCGGCCGGCTACTCTCAACGTGTCGTCATAGACTGTCCAGTGAGGAATGTGCTGATGTGCCGTGAGGCTGCATTCGCCACTGTCGACCTCACTCGCTATTTCTCTCCCCCTTGCAGTAGTCGACTGTCCTAGGCCTCCAACTAGCTGGTGTTGGGAGTGGGCGCAGTGGTTGAGTCGCGGTGAGAGGACCTACGTCCGGGCGTGCCTTCACATTCCTCCCCTGTAAGGCGGTAGCCGTGGGTTTGTGCCAGCATGAATTACTTTGCAATCGGTTGCATCTGAGAGCGTGGATCACTGTGGGGCCATTCAGACACTTCCTAATAATTAACTAACCGCTTTTTGCCCTATTTCCGAGGAAAATAACTTCGTACCTCGTTTACATTTTTTTCACGGAGGTTACACGAGCACTCCGTGTTATTTTATATCGTTATAGGCAAATCCTTACCTCCTGTTGGCGAACAGTCTCCGCACACGAGACACACGTCGGCTGACAGGCATTTGCACCCTGATCAATCTGTGTGGCAAAGTGGTCAGCTGCGCAATTACGACAGACGACATGACCACACTTCCGGAAACGAATACACTGAGGGCCAGGTGGCTCATCGAAGCAGATAGGACATTGGTGAGAAGCATTGGCAAACTCCTGATTCCTGAGCTGTTCTTCGTGACCAACTATCAAGTCCGTTAGTCGATAGATCCTGTCTCCACCTTCAGCATCATCGCTAATCTCGTCAAGTTGCGCATATTCGAATAAGTCGATGTTAATAGGTGAGTCTGCAGAGGTACCAAACAGATAGTCAATCACTTGATTTTCGATAAATTTGCAGCAGTGCTTCAAAGCGAAATCTCCACTAAATGTGCGTATCTCTTCTGTTAGTCGACAAGAGAGTAAGTCAATAGATATCGAGGATAACCAAACAGACTCCAGTGTGAAACTAAAATTTGGATCTGCAGGGTAGGATCCTCCGAGAAAGAAGCGAAAATAGATCGGAGGTAATCTGTTTAGGCGGTAGGTGAAGCGACCGTTGGCACCATGAGAAATACATATTTCCGGATACTGTAATTCGCGGTGAAGTCCAGTTCCAACGACGTTAACACCCTTAGTACGGTATGGCAGGGCCGTGAATTCCCCGGAGGTATAGTCACGCTGAGGGTTTATGTTTATCCTTTGAGCGTAAGTCGCAGATAGAAGTTTTACCTCCGCCTTGACTTTTTCAGGACATGCGGTTTTCTGGATCAACAGATCCAAGTTTTGCTGCATACTCATCCTCCTGGAAGACGATGTGCAGCAGCCGAGGATGAACTTCAGGCTAAAACAAAACGTTAATTTTGCGTGTAATATTTAAGGGCTCTGTGTAATAATAGATTTCGAAATATGCTCAATTACAGTGGAGCGGTTGATGTAAAATCTATTAATAGTGTCGAGCGTTATCTGATAATTAGCTGAATAAAAGCATAAAAGGTTGGGAAAATGCTGCATCAACCTACCGGACCCTCCGTCGATAAATCCTTACTGCCTACCGTAAGTCGCCAGACTGACCAAACATGCTCAAGCGGATGCACTTAATCGGGCTTCTGAAACTGTACACAGTTTCGCCTTTGAGAAGGTGAGGCCTATCGGTGAAGTCAAAAAGATGGTCAGACGGGTGCCCAAAAGCTGATCTGCGACTGGCAAGTTAAACTGATCAACGGTCCTGATTCTTGCCAAAGACTGATTAGTCTATCCAATGACGTAGAGTGCTATTAGGTACGCTGATTTTTCTGAAACTATGGCAGCCGTGAACTGGATAAAGTTGACCGACAAAGACAAGGGAGATGAGAGTGATAATTTCTACCCTATAAGTTGCTATTGGTCATCAGTATTTAACGAGGGGTTGATGATCTGTGAAACTCAGACCCACAGCTCCTACTTAGAAATCAAGCCAACTAACTACTGAACAC